CAGGCAGCAGGTGGGTACAAGCAGATCACATGGCAAGAGGAAGAAAGAGAGAGAGAGAGGGAGAGAGAGAGGGGGCGAGAGGGGTGGAGGGGAGAGAGAGAGAGAGAGAGAAAGGAGGTGCCAGGGTCTTTTTAAGCAACGAGCTCTCACGGGAACTAATTGAGCGAGAACTCACTCATTAATCTCCCCTCCCCCAGGGAGAGCATTAATCCATTCATGAGGGATCCGCCCCCATGACTCTCGCAGTTTCCAACACTGCCACATTAGAGATCAAATTTCCACATGAGTTTTGGAGGGGACAACACATCCAAACTCCATCACTCAATAAACATTTTTCAGTGCTTTTTATGTGTCACATGGAATCATGGGGCACAGAGTGAGCCAGTTCAGGAAACACAGACATGTCAAGACGGGGAAAACCAGGAGTCAAGAGGTACTGGGCAGTCCAGGGAGATGTTCAGAGGGAACCTGAGGGATGCAGGAGAATTAGCCAGGTTGGATGTGGGGGAGGGTAGAGCGTAGGGAGAGAAAAGAAAAAAGGTTCCAAGTGGTAAGGAAAGTGCAAGTGCAAAGACCCTGGGGCAGGAAGGGATAATTCTGGGGTCCAAAGACTGCAGGGTTAAGAGCAGGGCAAATGAGGGTGGAGCTGGGAGTGGCAGCAGTGGGGAGGGGTCTATTTCACTTTTATTGCGCACACTTCTGAGTTATGTAAGTATTTTATGAGAAGCATGTATCATCCTTATAATTTTTTGAAAGGTAAAAAATACAAAAGAAAAATGCCTCATAAACCCTCAAGAAAAAGAAAAACATGGCATTTTCTTTACTACTTTTCTCTCAAGAATCTGTAACATTTAAAAATTTCACTTATATTTGCTAAAGAAACCACCTACTTAAATGTAACAAATATGACATCCTCTCCTGTCTAGTTTGTTTGAAAACCTCCCCATCCTTCCCTACTTCCTTTCCCTATATATTTTTTTTTTTTTTTGGTATATTAGAGGTATGGACGATAATTGAGCCTAATTTAAATGATACTCCTTTCCAACCTTTGTGAAGGTTTTGGCCCTCAGACAGGTTTCTGGGCGTCAGGTTGAGTTCAGAAGAGAGATCTACTAGTGCATTTAGGGGAAAGTTTAGCTGGCCCCCAGGTACAAAGCACTCAGTATCGGCACTGCCTTGCAAGCTGGCATTTGCCAGTTTCATTTGCAATCCGTTGCTAGGGGCAGAATATGTTTTTCTGATCCTTCTCACAGCCTAGGGCTGGGACCATTGACTTTGATGTGGAGGCGATGCACACAGCTGCTGGGGGCGTGCACAGGAGTTGCTGGAGCGAGGCAGGATAGCTGGAGGGCAATGGCAGAGCTGCAGCTGCTGGAAGGATGTGCTAACCCTTCAGCTTTTGTCTGTCCCAGTGGGAACCCCAGCGAGGCCTTTTCAAGTCACACCTTGCGGTCTCTGCAGCAGGAATGCCAGGTTTGTTATGGGTTTGCTCACTTCACTGTTTTTGATCCTCTCCCTGTGCCCCTGCCCAGCTTGGGACCTTTCCTTTCATGTCTGATTTAGTGAAGCTGCTGGCTTCTGGTTGAGTCCAGTGCCAAGTGACACAGAAGGGTCTTTCTTCAGGAGACAGAGAAAAGTGGACAGAGATGGTGCTAGTCCCAGGAGAGAGGCATCTCCCAGCAGACACTCCTGGATGGTGTCATTGACTTGCCCTCTCCCTTCAATGGCCTTTTATTTGTTTGTTCCTCTTTGGGGATGATAGATGAGAGCCCACCTGCTGCAACCAATGCTCTCATCCAAAAGATAAGAAAACTGAGGCCAGAGGCCTAATTCCACCACCCAAAAGCCCCCACACCATTATGATACACTCCAAGCCAGACCCACAGAGGTGCTGCTTATCCTAATAGTTGAGGGCGTGAATTTGGAGTCAAGGTTCGCCTCTCAGCTCTGTCACTTACTGCAGGTGCAATCTTGCACAAATTGCTCAACCTTCCCATGCCTCAGTTTCTTCATATGAGAAATGGGAATAACAATTTTCACCTTTTAGGGTTGATGATTTTTTACTGGTTTTTTTATTTTTTTATTTCTTGGCGGCTGACTAGTTCAGGAATTTGGACCCTTGACCTTGGTGTTGTCTGCACTACGCTCTACCAACTGAGTAACCGGCCAGCCCTTATTTAAGTGCACTTTCCACCTTCCAGCTTAATTATCTCAGTCTTCACCTGTTTATCCTCAGCTGACCCCTCCTCTTAGACTGTGAGCTCCATAAGCAGAAGGATTCTGCCTGCTTTGTTCATAGCTGTGTCCTCAGCAACTGGCACTGGGTAGGCAGTGAGGAAGTATTTGTGACAATAATAATTAAAGCCCTCAACTCAGTGCTTGGCACACAGACAGCACACACACAGGCAACCATCAGTATGACTATTTATGATGGGAAACCAGTTTTAGTTTCAAAACTATCAAATAACCAGGAACCAGAGGAACAAAACAGTTCTCTGGAGTGGGCCTGCGGTCAGGTGGCTCTTCTGGGGCCAAATCCTCAGCACCCCGTCCATGCAGGACCAGACCCCCAGAGCCCTTGGAGCCATCTGGCTCCAGAGTCTCACCTCACTGTCCTCAGTCTCAAGGACATCATCCCCAGAGTCAGGACCCCTTTCCTGGGGCTTCAGAATTCCTATCTTTTGCTTTAAAAGGCTCGGATCAAGTGCGGAAAAGTCACAGCTCACCAAATGTACAATGATAGAGTTGCTAGATAAAATACATGATGCCCAGTTAAAGTTGAATTTCAGATAAACAATGAAATAGCTTTTTAGTAAAAGTAGCTCTCAAATATTACATGGGATCTAGTTATTCTCAAAAATAAAAGTATTTATTTATCTGAAATTCAACTTTAACTGAGTGTTCTGTGTTTTAATTTGCTAAATCTGACAGCCGATAAACAATGAAATAGCTTTTTAGTAAAAGTAGCTCTCAAATATTACATGGGATCTAGTTATTCTCAAAAATAAAAGTATTCATTTATCTGAAATTCAACTTTAACTGAGTGTTCTGTGTTTTAATTTGCTAAATCTGACAGCCCTACAGAGCCGTTGAGCTGGGATTTTAACCCAGTCCTGCCTGAACTGTGGGGACCTTTCTCTACTCCTGCAAAATGAGGTTGATCACATTAGGAACTTCCTGGGTTGTTAAGGAAATCGGAAGAGAGACGCTGAGTGAAAAGGGCTTTGGAAACCCTCAACTACTACATAAACTTTAATAAGAGCAGGAATTGTTTGCCTCTATCACAGCTGAACCCAGCGCCTACAACTGTACTGACACGTAATTAGATCCTCATAATTATTTGTTTTAATGAAAAATGCCTAATACTACTTTCTCTAAACAGCACCAACCCTCCCCCTCCAAAATGAAAATCAACTCAAGGGAGTCTGGGTCCAACTTCCCAAGCAAACCACATAAACGATTTTCAGCTCAGCCCCGATGGTCTCCAACACTTGTTGGACATGTTCCCATCGAGACTCCCTGCCGCCCAGTGGGGAGCGCACCTGAGAGAGCTCTGCACGTGCGCACTCAGCTCAGGACTTGATGTTATGCGCATGCGTCAGTCTAGCCCCGCCTCTAAGGGCGTGGTGTGTGCATGCGCACCGGCCCACAGGGATAGGGGCGCTACCCTGCCTGTGGGTGTTCCTTGAGGCGCTGGACATTGCTGACAGGTCGGCTTTTGGAGCTTCTCACGGCCTTTTGCCCTCATGGCCTTTGCACCCATGGGACCCGAAGCCTCGTTTTTTGAGGTTTTGGACCGACACAGGGCTTCCCTGCTGGCTGCCCTGACGAGAGGTGGCAAGGAGTCCCTGGGCGGGGTCGCCCGCCTGGCCTCTAGGTACAAGAGCTCTTGCAGAAGCTTTGGAAAGCCAAAGACGGTTCCACGGCAGGCCCCGGCCAGTGTCTTGAATCAGCTTGTGTGTATGGAGATGTGGTCACCCCTTCCTGTCCCCTGGCTGCCTCCCTGGTGTTGAGGCTGCAGGAGGGGCCCTTGGGGGACCAGCCCTGAACCCGAGAAAGGTCCTTCCTTAGTGCTCCCTTGCCACTTTTCTGCTTTTAATCTCAGTTTTGAACTCAAAGAGCCTGGTGACAGCCCCCTGGTGTCTTCTAGAATGTTCCCCTTCTAGAATGTTCCAGGAATATTCCCTCATCTGGGTTCACAGGTTTCCTAAGAACCTTATGGATCAGAGAGTTCAGGGCACAGTTTGGCTTTGGGTTTGTTGTTGTTGTTGTTGTTGTTCGTTTTATAATTTTTTTTTTTTTTTTTTTTTTTTTTTTGACCAGTGAGGGGATCGCAACCCTCAGCATGGTGCTCAGCCAGTGAGCACACCGGCCACCCCTATATAGGATCCGAACCCACGGCGGGGTGCTACCGGTGCTGCACTCGCCTGAGTGAGCCATGGGGCCGGCCCCGTTTTTTTAAATTTTTAAAATAAAATTTAACTTAAAAAGCTTTCAGGATTTGGGGGAGGGAGGAGAGAAAGTGACAAATTGAATGTTGTGAGTTCTCATTAAGCTAACGGTTTTCTCAAAATTAACAAGGATACCAACACATTTTAAATGGTTTATAAGACGACAATGTTTTACTTGACTTGGAAGTGGAGAGAAATTGATTTATTTCAAATCATTTACAGAGATTCTCCAGCTGCCCAAGTTGAAAATAGCTACAGAAAACATGTTTACATTATTAACCACTTTTACTTAAAATGCTCTTTTGTTTTGGTCTGTCAGCAAAGTTTTTCAGCCTAAACAAATTGCTGGTTTTTTTTTTTTTTTTTTTTAAGCCAAAACCAACTACCAAAAAAAGAAAAAGTCCACAAGCAGATTTTTACAAAAAAAATTCCTTTGAGGGAAAATTCAGGAGAGTGAGGAGGGGAAGGAGAGAGTGAGAAGTCCTTGTTTACATTTCAGATGTAGATTAATCTGATTATATTTTAAAGTTGGTTATAGTACTGTCCTGTAACTTTTTTTTTTTTTTTTTTGAGCTAGGAAAAATGAGATATTTGGAAGTTTTTACTTCATTAAATATTTTAAAGTTCATTTGGAATACATAAATTTTTAGCAAAAGCTCTGAAGTTTCTGTGGAAATTAAAACTCAACATTTTGCCCATTTTCTAGATTTAATTTGATTTCCCTTTCTAGACAATATGCTAATGGTATTTATAACAGAACAACATTTTTTGAAGCTGATGGCTTGTGAAATTAAAAGTCAGCTGACAGAAAACTGGGCTCAGTCTTAATATTTTGCTGTAAAGTGGTGTAACAGTTGCCAGGTCAACCATTTGGTGCAGAACCCAAGATCTACTCTCTGCTTTTTTTTTTTTTTTTTGGCGGCTGGCTGGTGGATTCGAACCAGAGACCTTGGTGTTAAAAGGCTGCACTCTAACCAACTGGGCTAACTGGCCAACCTTGATTTGTTCCTTTCATGGTAGTCATTAAACCTTTTCCTTTTTGTATCACAAATTAAAAAGGGCTGATTTTAAGGCATGCAATCAATTAGGGTAGTATACTACAAAAAGCGTTTCTTTTGAAATAGTTTTGCATTGCATTTTTGGGAAAAAATTACACCATTTTAATTAAAACATTCATCAGTAGTATTTCAAGCCAACAAAGTTGTATTTAATTTCAGTTAAAGTAGGTTAATATCAACAGTAAATAAAAATATATTTGTAAATTTTATTATCTAGTTATTAATGTAAAAGGGAGACATTGCTTCAATTGGTAATTGTTTGAGAAATTACAAGCAAATGAAATTTATGTAAACACTGTAAATGCGGTTATTAGAGTGCAGTAGATGTGAAGATTTATTTGGAGAGATGATTATTGACATGGATTACCTAGTCTTAAAAAACAACAAATGAAACGAAAAGTTATTTTAATATTATTGATCTTGGGAAATGTTAGATATTGTAAAGTCATAATTAAAATTGAATCATAGTATGTTTATTGTTTCAGTTCTGAGGTTCTTGCATCTGTAGAAAATATTATCCAAGACATAATCGCAAGCCTGGCAAGAAATGAAGCACCTGCATTTGTAATAGACAACAGATCAAGCTGGGAAAATATAAAGTGGGCATTTTGCATTTTTATTTCTAAATGCAGTATTTATGTCACTGTTTGAATTTATTTGAATTAGAGTTCTAGTCAGATTTATTTATTTATTTTAATTGCCTTTACCCTGCCAAAAAAGGATTTAGGAAGTTTACAAAATACATCTCATACAGGAAGGTTATGTAAACTAGAAGTAGTTGTGAAAGATAAGGCAAAGGAAAACAATGCTAGCAACAAAAAAAATGGAGCACCAAAAGAGATTATAGAGTTCGAAATGCATATGCTATATAGTCTTATAATCATGCTAAAAATAGGTACCAAACTTGGATCTAAGCTTTCTAGCACTCAAAGGGGGAAATATGATGAATGCAATTCTCATTTAGACTGCAAAAGCAAACAATTTGCTCAGGGGAACTACATAACCAGTGCTGATAGAGACCAAAAATAAATGTATCCTGAACATGGAGCACATCTGCAAGGCTCTTTCTCTTGGCACATCTTCTACCCTTGCTAAGTCATGTGTCCAAGAAGGGCAAAATCAGCAAACAGATTTATACAAGTTCTTGAACTTAGTTTTATAGTTTTTTTTTCAGCCTGTAAAATCTTCTCCACTAAATAATGAAAAACACCACGTGAATGGTTCTCATGCTTTCTAAGAGTCACGGCAACAGAATAAAAGGAATTTTGAGGCTCCTTAGTCACTAAGTATTATTTTATGGTCAATATAATTAATACTAACTGGACACTTTTGAATTATATTTTGTACCATGTTTTGAAAGATGGATTTCATCCAGCTTTGGAGCAGCCAACACCTGGCTTTTTTGCCTGGTGCCTTCTGCCACCTTTAGGAGAGGTTTGGCAGTTCAATTTAACAACCTAATATGAATTGTTATTTTATGAAATGTAGCTTTGCAGGTAAATCAGAAATAAAATAGTTCGAAACTTATTTGAATATATTTCACATACACTACCTGTCTTCCTGGGAAAGAAGCATACGTGCGCGCACGCACGCACTCCATAATCAAAGGTATTAACTCATTTAAACCCTTTATCTTAGTGTCTGTCACAAAGCTAATTACCTAATTACCATCCAGAATGATCTAAGCTTACAAACTAGGTTACCCTAAACCTTCAGTGGTTACATGGAGAAGATACATAGGGTTTAAATAACGTGCAGAAGAGCACATTCAGTATATATTGTTTGGTGTTCAGAAGTTAAGTCTTTTCATTTTATTCCCTCGCTTTAAACAAAATGACAGGTTCGAAGATTCTGTGGGTCTTCAGATGGTATCTCATTGTACCACAAGAAAAATCAAAAGCGATTCACCAAAGTCCATTCAAAAATTTGGTAAATTAATCTTTCTTAGCTTTTAGAAATAAAGAATAAACAAATTTGATTATCAACCAGATGTTATTTGTTTCTAGTTAAATAATTTTACTTGTTTTTTAATAGACCATCCATGTACTTGAAATAAATTTCTAGAATTTTGCATTATCAGTAACCTTGGAAGTAGATTATCATTCCAAAGTAAATGTATTTTTCAAGGTACGGTATATGGCTCAGTGGAAAATTATTCTCTCTGTTTTGCTGTCCGTAGAGCAACTAATTTTATCTGGTTCTTCAGGCAATTCTGTATTTCACCCTATTATTTTGGAAATATAATTCTTAAAATGTTATGGAAAATAACTGGGGGCAGTTAAAATCCTTGATAGCAGTATCTTTTGAATTATTAAGTAAATAACAAGTAACTCATTTATTGCATCTTACTTTCCAGCTCTCATTCTTAAAATATTGTCCATGATTTATAAATTAGTACAGAGCAACACTTATGCAACCAAAAGGTAAATTTATTGTTCTGGTAAATTATTCTTTAAAACTCAATGCAAGTTTTAGATTTTATTTTTACTTTTATTTAGTTATATTTGTTTATTACTTTTATTTAGTTAGATTTATTTTACTTTGTTATGCACTTTGAAAAGTTATGTATGACTAGACTATGGGTAATAAATTACTTTTTTATATGTTGTGTTTCATTCAGTTAAAGCTTTCTTCAAATAATAGTCCAATATTTGTCATATTCAAAGATAATATGGTTAATTAAAAACATATATTTTAAATTTTTATAGAGACATATATTACACTGACAGCCAACTCTTTGGTAACCAGACTGTTGTGGACAATATTATCAATGACATTTCTTGTATGTTAAAAGTACCAAGGAGGAGTCTACATATAGTAAGTAGTACTTAATACAAAACTTTTTTTTTTTTTTTGGTGGCTGGCCAGTATGGCAATCTGAACCCTTGACCTTGATGTTATAACACCGTGCTCTAACCAACTGAGCTAACTGGCCAGCTCTCAAAACATTTTATTTAAAACAAAATGTTTGTATAAATATTATAATAAAAATAAATGTAATCTTTGCCTTTTTTGACATTATTTGATACTATATTTTTTTCACTATAAATTTAAATAATCTGTTCTCAATATATTCCTTTGTATGAAAGGACCAAAACAGATGAATTACCGAATATTTTCAATTCCTAAATACTCTTACATATTTTCTTCTCTTAAATTCCAATCTGAGCCAAAATACAAATAATTTAGCAGGGGAACATGTGGAGTTACTTAACAGTATAAAAATATTAATAAAAAAGATTTCAAATATGTCTATTATTTTTTCAGTTATCAACATCAAAAGGTTTAATTGCTGGCAATTTAAGATATATGGAGGAAGACGGCACCAAAGTAAATTGTACCTGTGGTGTGACAGTAAGCATCATTAATGTTTTCCCGTGCTCTACCTCCCTTTCAGTTCCTTTGATTTTGAAATGTATTTTATTTCTTGCTTTGTGATGTAGTTTAGACCTGAGGATTTTAAAATAATAATGAAGGATGAATAAGTATATGCTTTACGGGGTTGTACATTACATAGTTTCAAAATATGCTAATTGTCAGATGTCATACTGAAATAAACGTACATGCACATTCCTTTTAAAAATGTACTGTATTTTCAGGTAGATTGTGGCTTGACCATTTTATCATGGTTATTTATGTAATCTTCATACAATTTTCTGGTTCTGAAAGTAGTATGTTTAATACTAAACTACAGTATTTGCTGGGCTTTGATACATAGAGAGCCCACAGGACTAAACTAGCACAGCAGTTTGGAAGGGGCCAACTTACCAATTTGGAAAAGAGGAAGATGACTCCAGTGAGGTCCTGCATAGGAAGTTTTTCTTTCATCAGTTTCTGCTTTTTAAGCCACCTATCTCCAAAACTTCCAAGAAATTCTTCCCTGCTGGGAAGTAGTGTGGATCATGTGTCTGTTTTCTTACCGAGGAATGCATCTGTTGCCTACTGTTTTCTTACTGAGGAATAAGTCTCTGATGGCTGATATAATCAAAGAAAAAGGAAAACATAGGATTTTTGTAATAAATTGTAAACTGTGGTTAAATAAGTATTTACTTTTTATTTAAAATAAAAACTATCTTTTTTTTAACTCAGGCTGTTGCTGTGCCATCTAATATTCAAGGAATTCGGAGTATCCTTTAAGTGGGAAAACAATTTAATCTTCTGGAATGTTCATTCATTTCTTTGATAAACAAAGCCTTCGTAATGTGTAATAAACAAGTTAGACGCTATAGCAGTCAAGATAAACACACCGTGGTCCCTTCCTTAGGACTCTTTTAGGAGCTCAACATCTAGTGGGAGAGACAGATATCTAAATGTATGAATTGATATCCATTTATATATTTGAAGATAAAAATGAAAATATTATATCTATAGCTGTTTTGAATTGATCTATCTGTCACTGTAATTTAATTGGTTATTGAATCGAAATACTCTTGCCTTCAATTTTTCAGCCTTAACTTCACAGATTTAATTACAGATGCAAAATTTCTATTAATTGTAGAAAAAGATGCAACATTTCAGCGGCTCCTAGATGACAACTTTTGCACCAAAATGTCTCCATGCATCATGGTTACGGTATATTATCTACCTTTACTACAATTCCAAGACAAACATATACTACTTTGATGATTGGTAAGAGGGTTTATAACATTATCTTTACAGCTTGGACAACATTCTGTTTTCAATACTCATATTTTGCATCATTTGGGATCATAGAACAGGAATTTCCAAGGCATTTTTTTAAACATCCTCAAATATGACTAACATCAAGGTGATGGTCCTATTTCTTAAATAGTAGCGGTTTTCTAGTACCAGGGTGTGCTTACACGGGCCCTTGGGACCTCGGAGCCATCCTCACTGCATTCCCACAGGGACTAGTTGTCTCAACTATTATATATTAACATTGGGTCTTTGGGCAGGGTTGAGTGAATAAAGGCTGCTCCTTGTGCTTTCTCACACAGGTTTGTGTAGCAGGTAATTTCATTAATTCACTCAAATGAACCCTTCTTTTTTTTTTTTTAACAAAAATGTGCAAAGAATAGCAAAGAATACAGAAGCATACATATGGTACCTGTGGTTGAGAAAATGCACAGGGAACTGTAGGCATCGGTTAGCTAAGAGAAGAGTCTTAGTTCCAGCTGCTATAACAGATTATCATAGACTGGGTGTCTTATGAGTGGCTTAAATAATAAACATTTATTTCTCATAGTTCTGAATTCCATGTCTGGTAAGGACCTGCTTCCTGGTTCATAGACATCTTTTTGCTGAGTCCTCACATGGTGGAGAGGGAGAGTGTTCTCCGGGGTCCCTTTTATAAGGGCACTAATCCCAGTCATGATGCTTCACCCTCCCAAAGGCCCCCACCTCTTAATACCATCACTTTAGGGGTTAGGATTTCAGCATATGAATTTGACGGGGAACACAAGCATCCAGTCCATTTCAGGAAGTGAACTTCTTGCTACAGGGTAACATGGAAGGAGTTCATAAAACTAGAGTGATCAGGGAAACCTGCTGGAGTAGGAAAGAAAGATGTGGAATAAAGGAAGCTTGGGGTATGGATAGGAGGAATACTACAGAATAAGAGAATGGATCAGGTTCCCCTCTTTTATAAGCTCTTTTCCCAGCCTTTTTATAGACATGCGTAAAAACCTAGTTCTTTGAAGAAAAAATACCTCATCTACTTAAAATTCTTCTTGTTTATTGAATTAACAGTAAGTACAGTGTTTGGTGCTTGTGAAATGTGTTCATGGAAGCAGTGAGGAGCGCTGCCCTGTAGAGGAAGCAGGATGCTGGGCAGCTGGGTGGACTCTTGGAAGACCTGGCCAGTCCCAAGGAGGCATCCTGTCTTAGTGCAGAAATGCCAGGCGCTAACAAAAGTGTTTTAATTGGCAAGGTGGGACATGATGAGGATTAGTGTGGCAGTGCATCATTTAGATGTAGTGAAAGAGAACTGGAGTCAGGGAGCCCACCGGGAGGCTATCAGGTGATTATTTTGGTGTAAGGAAAAGGGGAATGATTAAGGGGAAAAGACTGAAATGAAGGACATTTCCGTGGCATATTCATAGGGACTTGGTGACCATGGGATGTGAGGAGTGAGTCAAATGACTGATGTGTGAAACCTTACTTCAGTATCACCATTGAACCAAGTGATGGGAACAAGTACACTCAGCTCTTCATGGAAGAAAGATTTTGAGTGTGGTGTTGGAAATATGAACTTGAGGTGATAGCAGAAAATTCTAGTGGCAGCTGCCTGGTTTGAAGTTAAGGGACAAGAGTTGAGATGGAAAATGCATACTGAGCCCTTGTAAATAATACAGGCCATAATTGAGGTCCTGAAACTGATGATCTCTGTGGATATGTGCCACGGCTCTCTTTTTGGCCCAACATCCTCTCCTGTCACATGGTGGTGAGAGCACATGCTTGCCTGGCTGACCCAAAGGCAAGTCACTACAGACAGAGAAAGCTGCAGTGGCCTGGGTCTCTGTTCAGCCCTTGGTGTTTAAATCACATCTGGGATTATTGCTTTGGAGATGCACATAAAGCACAGCTCTCTGTCACATTTGGATCAAAGAGATGAAGTAACAGTAGTTATAAAGAACATACACTTAAAGAGGGAAAAACCATGCATAAATGCATAATCCTATTTTTCTACCTTGTCTTTCTTCCTACATGCTTCCTTCTAGTCCTCATCTGAACACACACACACATAGTTCTACACTGGTGCCATCATGGTGTCCATCGATAATTGCTATTATTACTGCTATGAGACACCCACAAGAGGCTGGCCTGTAGCAGCTGCCTCTGAAGAGAGGAGCTGGAATGGAAGGCCACACTAGGAAGGACTCATTTTCACCAGATATCCTTTGGTACTGTTTGACTCCTCTACCATGTGCATGCATTTCCCAAAGGAAAAAATTAACACTACTGTTCACTAAGTGCTCATGATGAGCCAGATCTCAGTTAAGAACTTTACATAATAAGAGTTCATATTTATTGCTATTCATCATATATCAACTTGTAAAGACTTTCAACAACCTTATGGGGTAGGAACTATCATCATCCACATTTTAGTAATAGGGTGCTGGAATGTAGGAAGGCATTTTACCACAATCCTGTGGCTGGTCAAAACCAGACTTTGGATTCATATAGTTCAGCTCTATGTTGCTACAGTGCCATAACTATATGGCAGGCATATTTATTCCGATTTTACAGATAAAGCTATGGCCTAAAGAGACTAAGAAACTTGCCCAATATCATACCACTAATGATGGGCAGTGAGGGAATTAAAGCTCAGAATTGTCTGATCCAAAGCTCATTCTTAGTCTCTGTACTCTGTTCTATGGTTCCTTTGGTTTTCTAATTTTCTCTCTTAACATTATTGTAATGCTCTTTAAATTACTTTTCTGAATACTTATTGTTTTAGTGACTTCATATTATTAATACACCATTTCAAGTATATTAAACCCTGAATTTAAACCAGGTATTCTTCTAAGTGCTTTATGATTATTAAATAATTTAATTCCTATAATAACCTTATAAGGTGTTGCAGAACCCCAGACTACAGAGAGATTTCCTTATTTGTTCAAGTTCATGCTGCTGAGAAGTGGCAGAGCTGAGATGCCAGCCTAGGCTGTCTGGGGCCTTGCAACTGGTGAATTTCACCACTGTGGTATGCCGCCCCTCCGTGTTCCTGTTAACTGTTTTGGCTATTCATAATATTCTCTGCCATTTTAAATAACACTGCAGTAAGCATCTTTGAGTATGTAGAATTTTTATTATTTCTGTTTTCTGCTGAAATATTTCCTTAGGATCATTTCCTAAGACTGGGATAATTGAGGCAAAGGTACAAATGTACCTGCTTCTCCACCTTGCCGTATGTACTGTACATTTTTTTACAGTCAGCATCAGTCTTTTACCACCTGAAATTCAAGGTGGGGGGATGTAATTTTTAAATTATTAATAACATAATGATTTAGCTGTATCCTTCTCATTGTACTGGATTAATATGCCTAATTTCTATCTTGTATTTAGGGAAAGGGAGTTCCTGATCTGAACACAAGACTTTTAGTCAAGAAGTTGTGGGATACATTTCACATTCCTGTTTTCACTCTTGTGGATGCTGATCCACATGGTAATTTATCAATGGACTATTTGGAACAATACTCATAACTAAGTCGTATTTGTAGTTGTCTTTTTCTTTTTTCTTTCTTTCTTTTTTTTTTTTAAAGATGACCGGTAAGGGGATCTCAACCCTTGACTTGGTGTTGTCAGCACCACGCTCACCCAGTGAGCAAACCGGCCATCCCTATATGGGATCCGAACCCGTGGCCTTGGTGTTATCAGCACCACACTCTCCTGAGTGAGCCAGAGGCCAGCCCCAGTAGTTGTCTTTTTCTGCTCTTAGAACACTTTCATAAAATATTTTAAAAGAAAGTGATTAGATTAAGATTAATCATTTGAGTCAATTTATTATTATTTTTGTCATATTAAACTGGGAACATAAATTTTCACTGGTAACATCCACAAAAATAAAAATTGCAGACGTTAGATAAAATTTAAGAGTGCAAATTATCTAATCTATAATATATAAGAAGAGTAATTTTATGGTTAACTTTCTTTTGACAGGCATAGAAATAATGTGCATCTATAAGTATGGATCTATGGTAGTTAGATAAAATTTAAGAGTGCAAATTATCTAATCTATAATATATAAGAAGAGTAATTTTTTGGTTAACTTTCTTTTGACAGGCATAGAAATAATGTGCATCTATAAGTATGGATCTATGGTAAGTATAGAAAAGTAGTTTTCCTTTTTCCACTATTTAGATATTTTATATTAATATGGATAATTTCTGCATTTACTTATCACCTCCTAGTAAGCTAAGAGCCCCCCAAATATACCTCATATCCTATTCTAGGACCACTCTGTATTTCAGCAGCTGTGATGCCAGTTTCCAGCATGACTAATGCAACCACAGATGACAGAGTAGGACTAGCTGTGAGCAAGAGGCATGATTATCCTGTACTATCCCAGTCTACTGAAGTAACTGTGGGGCTCCAGTGCAACAATACTGCCCGATCGCCAGATACACTCTAAATATTTTATATAGCCTTGAATTCTGACTTTGCCAATCACTTTTCTCCCACCATTAAGGAAAAATGAGACCACCACCAAATTTCACTACTAGAGTCTGCAACTACCATATATCAGTGGTTTTCAAAGTGTGGTCCCAGGCCAGCAGTATCAGCATCTTTGGAAACTTGTTAGAAATGCAAATGTCAGTCCCCATCCAGTCATACTGAACCAGAATCTCTAGGAGTGGACCTCTCCAAATGATTCTGATGCATGGTAAATTTTATAGCAGATGGAAAGGAGCAGGGTGTGAGCTGTGGAAACACAAACAATAATAAATGCAGGTTGGGGAGGTTCACATGCAGTTTTGCCTTATAGAAAGTTAATACAGAAATACTCCAGAGAAGTTTTTACACCTTCACTGAAAGCCCAGTTTAGCAAAGTTCCCTTTCTTACTTCTATGGACTCTGGGCATGTGAAGTCAGCTTTAGTACTTGTCCTACTTAATAAGTAAAAGTTTGGCTGCAAAAACAAGTATGCTAGTTTTCTGCAATTTTTAGCCTTACCTAATATACTTTTGTTCTTTATTTTAGTCTATGTCTTTTGAAGCCCATAATCTCACGGTTCCAGCTATTAGATGGCTTGGTCTCCTCCCTTCTGATATTAAAAGGTTAGATGGTATAGCAGAACTAAAATATTTAAAATGATGATTCACTGTAATATGCAACAATAAGCCTAAAAAGTCACTACAAGGAAAAGTGCTTAATGTTTTTTATTTATACTGTCCACTGTGACTCAGAATTGTATAATTGTGGATTAAATTCATCAATGTTTCTGTTTCAACTACTAAAATACTTAAGAAATGAATTTGGTTAATTGTACATTCAGCTAGCTAGAAAATGCTTTTGTTTTATTCTTATAGTTTAAATATTTTGTAAATTTTTATACTTAAAAGTATAATACATTGAGTCTAATTAAATGGGTAATCATTAACATCATTTGCCATATGATTGAATTTTATCATAAATTTTAACTTCATTTTAAATTATCTCATTTTAAGATTACTTAAAGGTTGAGAACCTCAAGTTTGGCAAGTTTAATATATGTTCAGTATAGAAAAACATCAAGTAAATAGCAAGGTAAAAATCAGCTAAAGATGAGCAGCTTCACCTTCGTGGATTATTTTCTGTGCATAGCCATAGTCTTTTGACAAAAATGTGATCATACTACACTGTTATTTTGTAATCTGCTTGTTTTCACACCACACAATGTGGTCACTTTTCTGTATCAATAAATACATTTCTCTTGTATAATCTCATTTTAATGTCTTCTGTTTCTGAGTTCTGATTCATGATGTGCCGGGGTTTATTCAGCCAGATCCTCATATCCAGACATTTAGGTGTTTTCCAAATCTCTGTTCTCAAGATAGTGCTTTGATGGACCCTCTTGTAACTAAATCTTTTCCAGCATCTTTAATTAGACCCTTAGGCTGAATTGCCAGAAGAATTGATGGGTCAAAGAGTATAAACATTTTTAAGGCTTTGACTGCCCTCTGGATAGGTTAATTATCTTGCTTTCCTTGAACAGTAACAACCCACCTGTCCCTCAGCATTTTTTTTTATCTCTGCTAATGTGATATTTTTAAATGTTTTCTTATCGTTTTAATTGGCCAGTGAGAATGAACTTAAACATGTTCATTGGATTTCCTTAACAGTGAGCAATGCTTGGTAACAGGTGCTTGTTTCCTAACTATGGAATGTGAACAGGTTTTAGGAGATAGGCCATTTACAAAATGAGGGCACAAAAGAAAACATTTAATTTTTGATTTTTTAATATTTACGCTCCAGTGAATTAAAATTCTGTTCAATTTAGTGTATGTGTCATGGTCAGAATTCCTTTGGGATGATCTACTAATATGAAGATCATTTTTAACACAAATTCAGGAAAAATGATCTGTTAATTAGTAAGGTGGAAGGCTTGAAGAAACTCTAGCTGCATCCCATAAATTCCATCAGTGCCCTCAAAAGCCACTCCAAATAAATATACGGTCAAAGGAAAAACAATGTGGTACCTACACAAACATGGCTTCAAGGGAAATCCTCTAGGCCTCCTTTCAAATTGTCACCCCTATCCAGGACCTGCCATTGGAAAATTGTCATAATTATGGAGACATTGAAAAAGACTATTTGAAACTGGAGCTCTCCTGGGAAATCTAGGATTTGTGACTTCAAAAAGTAGACCACACCATAAATCCTGGACCTCACATGTTCTGTTTTTAAAATATATACCAAGAAAAAATTACACTCTGCGTTTCTCAAATTTAAATCTAGATAGGTGAGCGTGTGTGTGCGTGTGTGCATGCACATGCATACGTAAGTAAAAATTGATAGATTAACTTCCATGGCCCAGAATCCTCAATGAATAACAAACAATTAAGTACTCAGTGAGCCTAAAGTTCCCCAGTGAATCTCAGCCACTGGCCATGCACGTTGGAGCTAACTGCTCCGTAAGTGTGAAGCTCTGGGATGCTTAACTGCACCTGTCATTAATCTGCCTTGATGTCAATATACATAATGTCAGCGCTACTGGCATTTGTTTAATAACCAACATCTGTCCTGTCATCATCCCATGAGTCTGACACGAAGGAAAACAAAAACTTAGAACAGAATCTTATTTGCTATGGAAACCCAAGCTTCCACTGTGAACTTGAAAACTTGCTGGTCTAGGACATGACAGGTCCTCCAAACCCTGGATTTAAGAGGTAGAGCTTACTAATTTTCTTATCTGTTATCTCTGGGTTTCTTGAAATGATGCAGCAAATACAGGTGGAATATATGTGACCTTCAAGTTATAGGAACACTTTGTTTTCACTGATTTTTTTTTCATCTGCTTTTTTTCCAGGTTAAATATACCTAAAGATAGTTTGATTCCACTGACAAGACGGGACCAAATGAAACTTGACAGTATCTTAAAGAGACCTTACGTTACCTGCCAACCATTTTGGAGAAAAGAAGTATAAGTTGTTTCTTTGTAAAATTTAAGTGCTGTATGTTTAATTGCCTTTTACTTTACTAGTGGCTATTCACATAATGTGAATATTATGAATATTATATTTTTAAATATCCCTCCTGACATTTTATATAACCAACAACTGATGTTAGTGTCATTTGGCAGTAAATAGTTGTTGAAATTGAATCATACGAATGATAATAAATGAGATCAGCTGGATGGAGCTGGCCTATTTTTATCCTTATGATAGTTATATACCCATTGTCAATGGCTGTATCATAGTTTGTGTGATTAAAAAAAGAAGAAAGAGAAATCATTATAAAGATCCCAGGCCAGTCCTAGTTATCGAAGGCATCCGTACTTGATATTCTCACTCCTGATATTATTAGCTGTAGCAGCTCTAGAATATTCTGGCCATTGCTTGTGGCTTTGGAGAATAAACAAAGTCCAGATTTACTAAATTTATTTGAATTGACAGAACTGCAGCAAATAACTCTGGTATGACTATATTTTACTTTTATTGACAGATGGAAATAATGACAGACTCTAAAATGAAGGCAGAAATTCAAGCTTTGACCTTTCTATCATCAGATTATCTTTCCAGAGTGTACTTACCTAACAAATTAAAATTTGGAGGATGGATATAAAAATATGTTAGAAGAACTTGTGATTGCCAGAGACTTCATTAGTTTTGTTTTAATTGGTAAATACTGTTGTGGAAAGAACATATATTCTTAAATCTGTAAAGGTAAAACAATTTTTCATTAATTATAATTTTTGTCAAAATAAATGCTATACTCTAATTTTTAGAAGGCTTTATTTTATCCTTTGTAGAGACTGATTTCTATCCTATGTTCTAAAATAAATTGTAAAAGAATGTATGTTGACTTTTACATTTTATTTGAAAAAATATCTTATACATGTCATCAAAGTCTACAAAAAATTTTATTTACCTTCTACACTATAACTAATATTAAGGCATGAAGTATCTCATTAGCAACAAAAATAATAATAATCTAAATTTGAGATGTTGCAAGTGAATTATAGTGTCCTGTAGTTTCTTCCACATTTTCCTTTGCCTTCATAGTGTAGGGGCCATAGTGTAAGGGTCTTGCCCCATTAATTCACTTGTGAATTTAGTAAAATTTATTATGAATAAATATTTGGGTTGAAGGAGTTTTCAGTGTTTTGCTTTGTTCCGGGCATACTTTTTATTGATATTATTTACTTGAAAATTTTCTCCAGGGTCTTATGGTTTGTTGCCCAAATTCAGGCAGCTGAATTCTTCTCTAGTCTAGGTCTGTAGAACAGAGAACTTCTTCAGTTGTAAGATTTACAGAAGCCTCACATTTTAACAAGGCACTTCTCTAACAGTAAAGATTTGATCTTTTCTCCTCATAAACCTATCTTAATTTTGCCAGAGATGAGTTTTATGATTTTATTCTGTACTTCAGTAAACCCTTAAACTGCACTGAATGTTTCTTGTAATTGTAAGCAAGAATATGTATTTACAGAAGTACAGACATGTTGGGTTAGTTATTTTATAAAGATAAATGGCAATAATAATAATATATACCATTTATGAGAACTTATGCCAATCATTGCTCATACATGATCTTATTTAATTCTCCCAAGAACCTTGTGATTTACTCAGTGATTACACTATAGTGTACAGTTGCGAACATTGAGGATGTTACTTGTCCAAAGCTGTAATTAACACTAGGGGACAATAATACTACCTGCCTCAAGAGCAGGGCCAGATACAGAATATGCAGGTCCCAGTGCAAAATGTACATTTAGGGTACCTTGTTCAAAAGTTATTAAGAATTTCAAGACAAGCAGCCAAGAACTAAACCAAGCAAGGGGCCCTGCATAGCCTGGAGGTCCTGTGTGACTGCACAGGTTACACACCCATGAGGCTGGCCCTGCCCAAGAGATTGTAGTAAGGATTAAATAAGGTACTATAATAAGAAAATACTTAACATAGCACTTATTATGTGCCACATATTTTTCTTGATGCATTGCAAACAACTCCTTTCATCTTCACAGAAACCCTATGAGCTAGGCTCTTTTATTATCACCCTCATTTTACAGATGAGAAAACAAAGGTATAAAGAGGTTAAGTAACTTTCCCAAGGTCACAAAACTAACCAGCAGTGGAGCCAGAACTTGAACCAGAGAATCTGGGTGCCACTACACTGGTACATGTAGAGTACTTCACACATGGCCGGGTGTGAACACTTGGAAAGGTCTACAGTTCCTACTGTTGGCTAGGTGTCAAATCAAGGTCACCCTGATGCCATGCCTGTGATATTAACAAGTATGTTATGTTCCCTGGTCACATTGGAACTAAACATTTCATTTTGAGAACATTCTGGCATGCTGTTAATTTGACTTATGTGAGAGACTATCGGAAATTCTAAAAATATTTTTATAAATTGCAAAAGTTTTCCTTTAAATTTCTACCATACTTACTCACTCCCTTAACACATAATAATATCACTGAACTTTGACAAGTTTTGTAAAGGAGGAAATTACCAACTTAGACATGTTTAACCCATATCACATCTGCATTAGGATATACTGTCAAAATGGGAGGGAATGACAAATCTACAATACCCATTAAAATTTGAAAATAAATTTGAAAAAGGCTTGAAGATACATTCAGTTTGGATTATTAAATCATCTCAAGTTTATGATTAGAAATTTACCTAAAATAATTTTCAATTATATGGAGAGTGAAAATGGAAGGAGAGCCAAATACACCATAGTTTGGCTTTACTACCTGTCTTTATTAAAAGCAGGTGAAAAATTAATGCTAGTAACTATTTGGGAACCATCTAGAATTCTGATTCTTAAGATTTGTTTCTAAAAAGGATTACTGTAAAATAGGCAGCTATGTAAAATGGCAACTGACAACAGACATCCCCTCTACCATCATCTACTGTATCTATTTGAAATATTTCCATAATTTTAATCAAGAAGGAACATTGGATTGGAATCTCTTTATAATTAAAGTGAATAAAAACTAGTTCAACAAAAAGATATTCAGATACTTTTGGTTTTTCCTTAAGGGCTCAAAATGACCCTTATAAAATAAAAGCTGCTTGTAATATACCAAATTTTGCAGGAAATTCACTGTCATCACTGGTAATGCTAAGTGATTTCAGAAGTCATAATTTCATAGGAAAAAAAAAACAACCACCATTGCATTTTCTCCAAAAATAGACACAACACTCCAGTATTTCCATCTATGATTTCCTTAACAAGTATCTCAGTTGAACTGTTACTTTGACATAGATATCTGTTCAGTGCCGCTGAAAAGAACAGATGCTTTCAAAACTAAGGTGCACGTACACGTACATTAAAAATATTTTCAATGGAAAGTTTTTGTAATAAAATATTGAGAAACATTTACTTTGCTAAATCATTAAAGGTATGTATCCCCAAAAAACAATACTGTAAAAACAAGCCAAGGTCGCCCTCTGCTGGCAGAAGCTCATTGTTCTCTCAAATCCTTCCACTATTTTGTGTAGACATTTTATTTTTTATTTTTATTTTTTATTTTTATTTTTGTTTTTCCAGGTCAGCATTTTATTTTATTTATTTTTTTTTTTATTTTTTTTTATTTTGTCAATATACAATGTAGTTAGTTATTGTGTCCCAT